TGCCTTTTCTAGCACAAAGCATTTAAAAAGCATTAGATATCTTGAAAGGATTAGCATTCAGTAAGCCATTCCCACAGCAAATACCTATGAGCAAAAACGCCAATCATAAAGAGTTCATGGAGACCCCTAGAGAGACAAGATGGCGACAGGGTCAGATACCTTCTTCAGCCTTTTTTGAGTTATGCTTTTGTTTGTATCTATCTGGAACAGAGAAGACACAAAAGCAAACGATAAAGGAAAGACAGAACAAGACATAAAATGAGGATGAGATTCATTTGGTCGAGGCTCAGTCAGTGTGGCTTTCTCTGACTGCATCCCCATGGCAATCCATTCCCGGGGGATTTTGTCCAAGTACGTAAGTGGCATGCTAGTCAGGTCTGGATTAACAGCAAAGTCTTTCTTCATGCTGCAGAGGACTGCTTTTAGAAACAGAGGAGAGGGGCTATCATTGGAAGGAGAGAGAAAATGACTTGTCTGATAGATGTTCCCTGTTTGCTGAACAATTTGGAGCAGGCAAGTAGAGAACGGTTTCCTGAAAATACACCATGAAGGAATTGGTTCAAGTAAAGAAAAAGTTACACCACCTCCTTCAGCTTTAAGAGACACAGTGATTCTAGACTTTGAGCAGCACGTAAAAACAAACACATGACCTGAACACATGATGGAGAATGATGTACAAAGAGTCAAGTTCTCTTTTCTCTTACTGTCACAGACGTAAGGTTTGTCCTGGTCGTCTGTGTTGACAGGATCTGTCCTCCTGCGACTTGATCCTCTGTTCTGAAATTAAACAACATACATCTGATTTTGAATCCTCCAATGTTTGAGCATTAAAACATTTAGGATGTTTAAACGCTGTAGCGTGATGATGTTATTTAGCTGAAAGCAAATAACAACGAATACATATTACTACAACTCTATATAACTGCGTTTTCAACTTTGCTACGGATACGCCTAGCGTCCAGAGCCGCTAAAACTAAGAGGTGTGGAAAAGCTGCTGGCCCTGTTTTAATCTCTGGGGCTGCGTTTTAGTTTGGACGGGCAGAAACTGAGATTCTTGGTAATGATGACGTAGACTCTGAAATGCTTGCTGATCGGATGTTCTATTCTGACCCTGTTGTCTTTGCTGTGATAAAGTTAAATTCTGTAGTTTACAATGATAGAACTATTTACCTGCATAGGAGGCAACCTATAACACCGGCACAGGCATTCAAAATGTTCGCAAGTGGTCACGTGATGTGCGTTTTCAGCCGTATGTGTATGGACGAGGATAAAAACCAAAACGCTTGTGTGGACAGAGATCGTTTTAAATTGGACCCACTGTGTGTTAATGAGATTATGTTATTATTCTATTTGATGCCACAAACACATAAAAATCTGTCTTTTTGTCTCCGAAACTCACTTTGCCTCTGTTTCTGTTCTTTCTCTTCGGAGTATCCAGTTCAAAGTCGTCCTCATCATGGAAACTGTCCCCATTTTCGTCTGCATCCAGTACTCTCTACAGAGGGCAAACGCACAGGACAGAAAAGGTAAGAAAAGAAGGTCAAAGTGAGATCACTCTGTTCTCCTGAAATCTAGACTTTAAACCAGGAGTGACTTTGACTTTTCCAGTTACATACTAACAGTTTTCATCTACTAACAGAACACGAAGCACGATTTAGCGATGTCTGACACACAAAAAACATCCAATAAAATACCTGTATTTCCAACAACGTCTCCTCCTCCTTACAGATGCTGTTCTTTTTCTCCAGCAGGCTGTCCCCCCTCAGGAGGGCCTCCAAGGCTGTGGCCTCCCCCGGGGGCACCTCACGCTTGGGGGCAAGCTCAGCTTCTGAGGAGGACGAGAGAAAAAAAGGCATTTGATTTGGTAGGTGTGTGTGGGTGCAATATTGTGCATGTGCATTCAAACTCCTATTTAGTGCCATTTAGAGCATATAAAACAACTTTTTATATATCACACACATATATGTGATATTTATCTATCAGCAGGCTAATTAAGAAACCAGCTTTATGTCAAATCACTTGATGAGGACTTTTAAAGTTATACTAAGTTGAGAGCAGTTTCAAACAGCTCAGGTTTGCGTCAGCAAGATGCTTAAGTGTAGATGAAAGACCAAAGCAAGAAAAAGGTATGAGCATCAATGTGGACACAGAGTAACTGCTCCTTCTGTTTGGGGTAATGAAGAGAGTTTAATAACAGTGACAAGGCAGGCCGCCAGATTCAACATCCAATAAAAAATAGGTGCACCTGGTGCATAGTAATGAACCAAAGGAAGGAAATAATGAACCAAAATTAAAAAAACATCGCTTGTAGGCCTGAATATCTCCCTCTCTCCTACAATCTACTTTATCTTCCTTTCTCTCCCTCTTTTCATTTCCTTGGAGATGAACTTCCTGCAGCAACGACTCTCTGTCCTCGTCTTTGAACTCTAATACCCGGATAAATACAGAGTGAAAGCAGGGATGTGACAAGAAGGGTGGGGAGCGCATGAGCCGAGGCTGTAAGACACTCTTATTGAATACAGAGCTGCTGTACCGCTTTGTCTCCTCTGCTCCCTCCTCTCCGCACCATACACACTACATGTCTCCTCCTTCACCTCTGCTCTCTGCTGACACCCTCCCACCTCCTCTTTTACATTAAAACCCTCTTTCCTTTGCTTTTCTCTCCCCTGTTTTTTCTGCCCTCCTCCTCCTACCCATGCTTATTCCCCTTTAAATAAAAACCTCACCTCTCCTTTGACTCTCTGGGGCAAAACAGAGAGAGAATAAGTGGAGCTGAATGTTCTGCTCTGCAAGTAATAAGCAAAAAAACCATCTTCCACTCCAGATACACTCACACACACAATGTATCTGAATGTTAATTTCCTCTTGATCTAAACGTCAGTGGACTGGCTCCATCCTCACCAACGTCCTTAAAATGTGTGTAAACAGTGTCGCTCATGCATTTGCTTGCACCCTTTTGAAACTCTTATTACAGTGAATAAGGAGTTGATACTAAGGAGAGCAAAATGGCTGCTGAGGTACAGCCCCTGACTTGAGCTGTGACATGCAAAAAGAAAAAAGCAGAGGAGTAGAGTTCTGGTTTCAAACTTTTTCAAGTTACCTCGCGACAGAGCCTCAGTGTATCTTCATGGACACACACACACACAGACCTCGAACCTCTCTGCTCAGGAAGCATTAAATAAACATAAAGCATTTCCAAAAGCACAAGAGAGGAGCACTCACATTTTTCTGTCGTGTTATGATAGATATCAGGGCCAAACTGCAGAATTGGATCTCAGAAAAACAAAACTGTAGACTTCTACGTTTAAGGCTTTCCAGTAAATACAGTGTCTCTAGTTTTCTCTCTCTCTCTTTGTGTGCTTTGGTTTGCTGGTTGCAGCTCTTGAGAGTTTCTTCTCCTTTCTTGTTGCAGCTGAAATGAGTCTGTCCTCTGCTTAAAACTTCAGAGTATTATATTGCGTCTAGAAGACGGCAAAGGGGGAGACAATGGTGTGGCAAAGCAGAAACAAAGACCTGCCTATATGTCCCCCCATATCAGGTTCCTGGGGGATTCCTTTGCTAAAATCCCCTGAAACACACACATATGCATGTATGTATGCACAAACACAACACACACACACACACACACACACAAGCTTCAACCTCATAAGACTCACTTACATTCTAATGGCGCATGGATAAATGATTATAGAGGCCCAGTTTGGGTGCTTCTGTGTTATAGCGGAGAGCCAGAGTCATGTGTGGGGGTGTTTGTGTGCTTATGCATGTGCATTTCTGTGTGTGTGTGTGTGTGTGCGTGTGTGTCTGCTGCCAGAGAACAGTGAGAGGAGGCATTGATTCAGGGGAGAGAATGAACCTAGAGACCTGGCGAGAGAGACGGGCTAACCAGAGCCAGATGGTCAGATAGTGAGTATAAATGCCACTCAGCACGCCTAAAGCTCCATGCAGCTGTAAACCAGGGCACAGACGTAACATATACTGTATAAGTGCATTTTAGTGAACATAGTGTAAATGCAAAAACGAGAGGGTGCACCATATTTCATGGTCAGCACTGCTGTGGCCATGGATTTTCACTGTGTATGCATGTCAATGTGCTGCTGGGCTCTGTGTGTGTGTGTGTGTGTGTGTGTGTGTGTTGTTTGTCTTACCTAGTCGAAGCTCACACAGGCGGAGCTGGGGATCCAGAGGAGGGTGGAGTCGCCTCTTCTTTCTCCAGCATCGAGCAGGGTAGGTATACATCTGTCCCGCTGCCTGGCCTGGATTCACACACACAAACACACACGTTTAAACACGTACACAGGAAGAATTTTAACTACTATTGGCGAGCCTGTTTTAAAAAAGCTGCACTGAAACTCCACACACACACACACACACACACAAACTAGACACTTTTGATACTAAAACTCAGTCTGATGGGCCACATATTAACTCCAAGTAATAATTGCCACTATTTAAGCAAACCAGGCTTCCTCTAGTTTAATTGAATAGTTTGATGTCTGACCTTGTGTCCAATCATAATCTACCATTAGCTTGAAAAAATACTTTTTTTTTTTAATGAGTGCATGAGCAAAGAAACAAAATCAAGTATAAGCAAGGGAGGGATAAACCCATAATACATGCATATAATGTTGGGTCTGCCACAAAGTATAGGGTGTGGCCTTAAGGGCTTTGCATATGAGATGGAGAGCAGGCTATTTGTGTCCGGCTCTCAGTGAAGAGCAGATTCGTCCGCTTCGGCCGTACAGGCGACCCAGATGTGAAGAAATTCAATGCTGACTGCGTGTCTCAGGATAGAAGGTAAAGTCATAAATCATCAAAAGCACAAGAAGGGTTGATTTACTTTTTTGTAATTCAAGGAGGTCAATAATCCATCATTTCTATTTCCTGTCTTCTATTGCTTGTTCACTTTCTGTCTGATAGTAACATTTGAGGATTGATACCACCCTCATGTCAGGTGTTTTAAAGGTTAGGATCCAAGAACCAGAGGGTTGGTGGTTCAATCTCTGGTTCCTCCAGTTTGCATTCCAAAGTGTCCTTGGGCAAGATGGGCATGAACATACCTGGAGGACACAGTAGGTTTTCCTACTTGTTTGAAAGGGAAGGGTGAGGCGAGGGGTTTTCAGTTGGTTGCAATATGCAATTTCACCTCTAGATGCCACTAAATCTGACACACTGAACCTTTAAGAAAAGTAAGAGTAACTTCTTTTAGCCCTTGCGGCATTCCTCACCTGGCTGGCGGTGGCGCTTTTCCATCCAGATGTAGCAGTTGTTCTGTGCCACACCCGTTTGCGAGTCCAGGAAGGGCATGCGCACACTACGCTCGGCACAGAGTCGGGCATTGTAGCTGCGACAGTGTTCAATGGCCTCTCTGTAGAACTGGTCACCCAGCCTGGACACAGAGAAACAAGGAAAATAGCAGGTAAAATATGAGGTAGACAGATTCTCAGACAGAAGATAATCCTTCAATGTATCATGTCAGGCTCATTTTCATTTACTACAACAGCTGCCCCATTCATTCAACATCTGAAGTAAAGTGAAATAATATTTCTTGAAACTCAAGTTACAAACATAACACTATAGTATATTTCTTTATCCAAGCTATATGCTGCAAGCAACTTCGATTTTGGCTTTCTGTGTCATGAAGTCCCGTCAGCTAAATGCATTTTCTTTTGGATACTTAATGACAATAACACGTGACTGATGAGTTGTTATGGTCTGTGAAACACACGTGAGTAAGGCAGTTCAACCCTGGTTAACTTTAGCTTTAATAAAACAAACCCTGACTTATCTCCACAATTTGATTCAGTTTGAGGTGTAAAGTTGGGATTTAGTGCAAAGATCTGAGCTGAAAAAAAACATTTCTACTCTGTACAGGTGGAGCACAACAACTGTGAAGACACACAAATACAGGAAGCAATGGTGAAAGTAGAAGAATTGCTTTAAATGTCAAATCCTGTCAAACTGATAGATGAGGCAGAGCGCTGGATCGAAGTCCACACAACAGACAGGCGACACATTACTATCGACCAGGATGCGTTCCATTAATAACCTCCACAGTCCAGGCAAGATTTCTGCAGCTAAGATCATCAGAGACAGATGGAATGAACCAGGATTCATTCCTGGTATATAGTTTCCACACATTGTCTTTGTTTACGCTAAGATAAGGCAGAGGGGTTGGAAAGGTTTAATAAAAAAGAAAGAAAGGATCTTGGATCTTTTGCTCTTGGGGATATTCTCTCTGCTGATGTGCATACACGTCCATCAGCCTGTCCAACATCCTGTCTCTGCAGAGATGGGTGCTCTGTGGATTCTCTGCACAGATATGTAAAGAATGCCAAACTGGACAAAGACCAGCACTCTGGTCACACTGAATCTCACAAAGATGTGCAGTGTTTGGGAGTGGAGGGATAGTGGCGGATGGGTGGGTGGAGGAGGAAAAGGATGGGGGGAAGGGAGAAGGGTGAGAGGGCAAAGTGAACCAGGTGTTGCATGCAAAAGATGAAGGAGACAGGGTGACTAGGCAGGTACTTTACTTGCAAAAATATCAATACAAAGAGGGAATATGGAAACTTTGGACACATGCAGCAAAGACCAAGGTCTGCTTCACACTTGTAAAATGTGAATTGCACCTTAGCTTTGGCCGCTGCTACTTCTAGACTAGGATCAGACATGAATGGGAGATTTGTTGCTTGAGGTATAGGTGATGAGATGTGCTGGAGGAAAGGGGAATAGCCCGTGGCAGTATGATTTAATAGGACTGTTCATTTACCTTGCATGACATATTATTAGGAGAGGTGTGAAGTATGGTTAACGGTGAAACACAAGTCGTTTTGGGCTTATATAGGAGAGAGCTAGTCTTTAAACTAAGCTAAGCCAACTGTCTCCTGGCCCTAGCGTCACACTGCACATGCAGTGGTATTTACAATTCTTCTCAACTAACTGTTAACAGAAAGCATATTTCCAGAAAACAACTGCTTTGGGTATAAATCTAGTTTTCGAGAGGATTAGCAGATGAATCAAGTTTAGAAAAGAAATGTTGGGATGGACATCAGAAATGATCCAAATCACTGATGTATTTATACTGATAATTTATTGCAGTAGTGATAAATTGCAGTTGCACAAGTAGAAAGTAAAACCTCTGTTGGCTCTGTGTGCCACAGTATATGTATAATGTCTGGGCTAAAACACGTGGCAGTTACATGCTGGGGTTTTTTTTTGTCAGGAGACGCTACAGAAATGAGGAGTACAGCTGGTGTTTTTGGTGCTACATCTTTTTAAAGTATGACAAACTGGCTGTCACAGTGATTTAGCCATATCCAAATCTCCAGAAGAGACTGCCTGTCACATAACTTACATTCCCAGAGGTAAAGTGTTATTCCTGCTGTCACTCTTTGTTCCCTGAACTCAAGCATGTGTGTGTGTGTGTGTGTGTGGACCTACAAGCATCTCTGTCTTCATCCGTCTTTCCCTATTTTCCTTCCTGTGTCATCCCATACTGCTTGTATGTTTCTGTCCCATTTCCAGCTACAAAGAGCCTGTATAAAATCCTCGGGCGGCTTCATAAACTCTTATATAAGCAAATTTTCATGTCTGCTTGTTTGCCTGCTGCATATTTGTCTTTGTGATGTGTTGGTTCAGAGAGTAAAGAGACGTTGTGTGTGTGTGTGTGTGTGTGTGTGTGTGTGTGTGTGTGTGTGTGTGTGTGTGCATATGCGTACGCATGTATGACCATCTGTCTATGAGTTACATGTCAGCCCTTAGACATCCCACCCTAAACCCCTGACCCCATCCCCCTCTGAACCCGACTCATCCATTAGACAGTTTGCTGTGCTCCTATTTGTGCACATTAGTCGACTGTATGGTTGATTGTAGTGATTTTGCTTATGTAAGTCAAGTTTTGCATGTCAGGGAACGCATTCCTCTTGGTCAACAGCTTCCTGGATACTGATGGAATCTGCAGTTGCAGTGTGTGTGTGGTGGGTGTGTGTGTCTGTGTGTTTGCACCACCATGATGGTTTCAATTGCTCCCATACTAGCAAAGACAAAGGCTTTGTGGTTGTATAGTCACTCTTATCTAAACAGTGATGGGCCATTTAATCACCAAATGCTAATGGTTAACAGGTCAATGTTTCCAGGTAAAAAGGAGAGGAGAGAACACAACTCGTTCTGCATTTCAGTTCAACCTTCTGTTTTCTATTTGGACATCAGGACCCAGCACTTTAATCCAAAGTGACTCACAACTGAGGGACAACACTAAGCTTGAGTACAGTAGGAGAGCTTAAACTAAGTAATAGGTGCTAACTCTCAATAAGAAAGGGTGTGAGGGATCAGGTAAGAAAGTAATCCATGAAGTCCTGGTTGAGGTGTTCGGTGAAGAGGTGCTCTCAGTATAGATCATTCTTCAAGATGTTGTTGTGATTGCCTTGTGTGCAAAGATGGCAGTGCTGGACGTAGAAGCCCTGAAGGAGAATAATGCTGTATGAGTGCGTTCATGTAGGTGGGTGCAGACCCCGACATCGATCTGTGTTGAATTAGATTCTGGAAGCCTTCGGTAGCCAGTGGAGTTTGATGAGTGGGTGACGTGCCCTTTTTAGCTGACTGAAGACCGGACGTGCCACTGCTTTCTGTTACATTTGTATGGGTTTATGAAGGTAAGCCCACCAGAAAGGCATTGCAGTAGTTGAGATGAGAGGCCTGTCTCATTGCCTTGGTTGAGGGATGAAGAGGCGATTTTGACATTAAAGTCATGCAGGAGAAATTGATTGGTTTGGATAACGGAGCGTTCAGTCTTAGAGAGGCTTGGTTAGAGGTGGCGTTCCCTCATCCATGTGGATTTGAGTCAAGCCTGTGAGGTCATCTGGCGAGAATGACAGGAATAGTTGTTGTGGCATCTGCATAGCAGTGATTCCAGAAGCTATGCTGGTGGATAACTGGACATTGAGATAGGATTCAAAACAAGAATGGGCCCATACCGGAGAGAACCAATAGCAGGATGTGGTGGTACACTGTGTCAAATAATCCTGATCTGATTCTGGTCCAGTGAGATAAGAGCGGACACGTAAGCTGCAGCTCTGGCTGCTTTTAGAGCTTCTGTCCAGGTAACAGAGACGTTTCAGTGGAGGGGCCTCTTGAAGCCTGACTGATTTGGATCGGGGGGGGACGTTCCATGAGAGGAGTCTGAGAGAAACCGACCTATCAGTAGCCTTAGATAAGAATGGATTCCCAAATTAAGGTAAAGGTATGAAGGGACAGCTTCAGATTTGATTTGTCAGTTGACAGAAAATTAAAATGGAAAAATCCTTCTAGTTACTTTTCAGTAGATCTAATGCTTTTCTTTTTCATATATGATTGATAGACAGATGTGACATATATTGAATATGTCACATTGAGCTCTATAACATTCTAATGGGCGCAAATTACTACTGTATGACAGTTAATTGAGAAAATAATGAGCAACCCTGCTTCATTTTCAGTTTTATTTAGAAAAAAAGAAGAAAAAACAAATCACCGTTTTGCCCCGAGGCAGGAGGTGTTTTGTCAGTCATGCAAACCTCGCCACAGTTTACCATATCACACCTTTGTCAATCATTTTAATGAGCTCTGTGCTTTGAAACAACATCTCAGTCGGGCTGTGGCTGTGGTTATAGCATCTAGGAAAAAAAACATAATCCCTTAAGAGGCTGTAAAATAAATTCAGGAGACGAAAGTTTAACAGAATAATACAATTTGAAACATAATCTCTTCACGTTTTCATACAACATGAAACATTTTTACTTTTATGTTTCCACACATAAAGTGAAAATAGTAACATCAGCCTCTGGTAATGTTGGATTTCACTGCAACTGACACATATTACTTTTCACAGAATCTTTTCCTGTCAGGACATTTTTAAAAACACAGCTGTGTCAGGGAATGGTGTGGTATTATCACAAAATGCATGGGCACAAAATACTGAGAGCAGATAAAGTCTAGTCAGTCAGTTTGGAGCAGGAATAAGTAAGAGGCCCCAAAGGAAGTACAGGGTTGGGCAACGGCATATGGGCACTGATAGGCGTCTTTGTGACATTTAGTAGGCAAAGCAGTGGGTGAAGCAGAGAAGAGGGAGACACGGGGGGAAGAGGAGGAGCAAAGGAGGCCGGGGAGGAGGGGTCCGATGTATCCCGGGGCACACGTGTTCTCTTTCAAACCCTGTCACACTCATTTTCTCTCCAACTCACGGATGTGTGTAGGCCTGTGCACGAGCGCTTGTCCGTGTGCAAACAGACACACAAAGCGAATAAAAGGGAAAGGTGCAGGGCGCAGTCAAAGTAGGGGGGGGGTAGAATGAGCAGCTGAAGAGGAAAGGGTGGTGCAGAGGGGAAACCCTGATTCTGATGCTGCTGTTGTGTTACTGTAGGGGGTGAGGGGAGGGGTGGGAGCTGTGGGCTGAACGATAACTCACCATTCAACTTAGCATGGAGTAACTGGAGGGAATATGTGTCTCCAACGCAGAAGATTACTTATTTATAGTTGAACAACAGGCAGTCACACCTCACATCTAACATTTACATAAAAAACACAGGGAGAGACGTGTGGCTGCATGGAGCCTCCTATAAAAAAAAAAGAAAACAATGTTCCTGGACATTTAATTCCCTGTGCCTGGAAATCATTCCCCAACATTCCCATTCCCTCGGATAGACAAAGGCCAGGGTTCGGCCCCTGTGCTGAGGGTGTAGTATAAATGTATGCAGTAAATTCAGCCAGGCAGACCCCCACACACACATATACGCCCCACACACCCCAACCTCCATCACTCACTCACGCGCCCTCTCACGCACACTGGGGGAGGGGCGCGCCTTTGCACAAGCGGCCATGCATGTAACAAATATACACAATAAAAACACACTGACCCTCCTCCCTTGTCCGTGTAACCCTATGTTTTCAATCCTTTAACAAACATGGTCGAACCATTTTCCACCTGAGGTCTTTGGTTCACTGTGAATCCAAAGTTAATGAGGAGAAAAATAGCCTAAAAGACATAATAATATGCACATAAATACATCCCTGCATATGAATTACGCAGCTCATTTGAATACTTCTCATGTCAGCCCTTCATTAAGTCCCATCACACACGGCCTCTTACCACAAAGATGTCTTTGTAAAAAAAAGAGTTTAAATTAATCAAGTAAATATGGCGAGTTTAAATCTGACTGAATGAGTCGAGGAACCAGACGTGTTTACTGCCAGCTGCTGATGGTTGCAATTCATCTTTCGGCGCTGAGCACTGCACGGCAGGAGAGGAGGGCCAGATCACTACCATCTCCTTATTGAGTGCACATGATTTACCGGCCACATCCTGGGGACTGATGACAAGTACGCCCCATTGTTTCAACCAGACAGTGAACTCACACAACTGCTCGGTCTGGAAAGTACAGCAACATCATTTCCCACTGCATGTTACTTGATATTACCTCGTACACTCCCACACGATCACTTCACGTGCAGTTTCCCCTTATGATTAGGACAAGCACTTATGTGTGTTTGTCTGTTTCAGTGGGTGAAGTCACTGTTTTCCCCCTTTTTTTTGCAGATATTGGATGGGATGGAAGGGAAAGTCCTGCCACAGCCTATATGAAAGGCAGATTGGGGGGGGGGGGGGGGGGGGGGGGGGGGTGTCCCTCCTTCCCTCCACCTCTCCCTCTGACCCTGCATTAGACTGTCTTTCTTTACCTCTCGGTCAACAGATGGACCCAGGAGAATACTGGGTCCATCAGTAATCTATAATCTGCTCTACATGCACAACTGCAGACAAAAACAAAGACAAACATATACACCTACAGTCTCCACACCAGCCTAATCTGGTTTGATGGAACAGGATGTTTTTGTCTGATTTGTTTTGGCTGCAAACAATGAGCTGTACAGTATTTCCAGAGATTATATTATAATATAATGAATTAGAACACAATTTATAGATGGTGTCAAAGTCATTGACACTCCTCACATTTCAAAAATACAAATAGATACTTTAGCAAAAACAGCAATAGGCCCTTCACAACAGATTCCGCATCTGCTTTCCGTCAAGAGACAAACACGCATTAGGTCATAGAAACTAAGATGAAAGTTAAGCTAATAAATCTGACCTATTACTTTTACAGTGCATGAATAATTTATAATGTAATGAGGCATTTCTTTTCATATTTGATGACTGCATGTTAAAAAGGTCACTGAAAAATAACAAGTGCTATCAACTTCAAAAATATGTAGCCTGCAACATACTTATGCATTTATGTGGTGCAACCACTTGACATCATGAAATTAACGTTTTTTTCAGAGAATATAATGCATGCAGCTCTGAGGTAGATGCTCCTACAAATCCAAAAGTGTGCATTCATTTACACTAACGACTGAAGGGGGACTGCAGACCCCTTACATCACTGGAACACGCAGGTCTTCCATACACTTATGAAAGGAGGTCAGTGCTGCATGATAATAATCTGCTCTATGCTTTGTGCGCGTCTGTCTGACAGCACGAGCCGCGCGCTGCGCCACCGTCGTCCTCTCGCCGTGCGCATTGTGACGCTAATTGCGTGAAATTGTTTTATTCAAATTCGCACGTCTCGCGCGGACAAAGAGCCCCGCGTGTAAACTTTTGCGTTCGTGCGGCACAAACGTGCACGATGGCAACTTTTAGTCTGAGTAGAACCACGTCCACGAGAGTGAATGGAGATGTTTACGCGCGGGCTGGAGACGATTGCATGCTTTTACACGGCACAGTAAACAAGTACTTGCACATAACACACACTAACACACGCATACACGCACGCACAGGCTGTCCATAGCAAGAGTGATGATTTTCTGATTCTAGCGTGCAGCCAATTTAACCCTGTACTCCTCTTACGCGCATGCAATCAAACTGTGCAGCCATTGCATGAAATTTTTTCAAAGAATTACTTACGATTTTAGAGGATTATGAATGACAGTCGCCATTTTCCTGCAGGACTGTAACGTAATATTCCAAATCTCGGTATAGTTTGGGACCCTTGCGGAAAAAAAAGGAAAAACACAAGAGCCAATACGGTCCAGGGCAATGTGCTCCCCACCAATACAACACCAGCATCAAGACGTTGGGCGTGGCTTAACAGAAATCTGTCAAAACCAATGTCCCCCGTCTTTAGATTATAATGATCTCATCAAATGAACTTGATTTAGCTATGGTCGATTCAAATAACATCAATATCACAAACTCTGAGCCGCACCATGGAGTTCTTTTAGTAGTTTTTCTTGTATAACGTGCGAATCGACGGCTGTTTGGACAATAATCAACCACTTTATCGTACAGCCATTCATTTAGATGGCTCAAGATGAACAAGTGTTTGTAATGAAATGAAAAGAATCCAGAGAAAACTGATTTTCTTTCATAGAATTCCAATTAAATTCAATGAATGTTCATGATTTTATTCCTGTGCTCTGGAAGAAAACAGCCAATGAAGCCATGCCACGTCACAGGCTACTGTTAGCCAATGAATGACACGTGGAGGCGGGACAACATGGCCGGAACTTCATGTACAGTAATTAGCTGTAGAGAAGCTAAAACTGTAAACTTGTGTCAGTTTCTCAGGAAATAGAAGTTAACACTGAATTCAAGTCGCATCTGTTGACATATTGAAACCCTGTTTACACTGCACACTGACGTTCAATGTTCTGCTTCTGACGTGTCGAGAAAAAAGGGTCGAGATTGATGTGTAGCTCTTGGCTAACATTAGCTCGAGTGCTAATGCTAAGGGCCAGCTAACGTGTGCTAACAGGTAAACACGCTGCTTCAAACAGCTTGGCACGGTCACACGCGGTGTGAGGACCTCTAATCTCGGGGCCCAAACCGCGGGGATGAAGAAGTGGACCTGGCGGGAGGGACAGCGACCGCATCGGCGACAGGGGGCCGGACACCGCCGCGGCTGGTACAGAGACAACCGGCAAAGATCTACACAGGACGAAGGCTGGTATGTTAAGTTTAATGTTGACATTGATTCAAAGAATGTGAGACGTGTTAGTCAGTGCTGCGATTGTTTATCCTTGCACCTCCCTGCCTTTCACTTCGTAGGTATGATCACAGTAATGCAGGGCCTTCAAATAGAACATCGCAGAGGTGTGACAACCAACCTGCCTCATCTTCTTCTTCTTCTTCTTCTTCTTCTTCTTCTTCTTCTTCTTCCTCCTCATCTCCTTCATCTTCCACCTCCAAGTCCAGCAGTGCTGCCCCAGGTCAGTGCATCTCATTTACGTTTGACCAAGGAGAGGTTTGTAAGTACAGTTTATGTAGTAACAAATACAAAAGCAAAGAAAATAAGTCACTCTTTGTGTTTGAACTGACATATCAATGGAAAATGTTTCTGGGTGATGGAAATGATGAGATTTGGGGAAAAACGTGTGTATTATTGTTCTGTTGAAGAGCTGCCTGGTTTCTACTTTGACTCGGAGAAAAACCGCTACTTCCGCCTGTTGCCGGGACATAACAACTGTAACCCACTGACCAGAGAGCAGTTGCAAGAGAAAGAAAGAGAGAAACAGAGAAACAAGATGCTCGCAGAGGATGAAAAGCTCAGAAAAGTAAGTCTGCTGTAGGGGAAATAATCTCCATCTTTCTATATATTTCCTCTTATATTTAAAACCTATGCTCTCTCTTACCATGAGTGTAACCTTCTCCCACAGATTATGTTCTCTGAGCTAAGTCATATTGGTGAGAAAGTGCCAGACTGCAAATTGTCTGTGATCACTCCCTTGTTTACTCGCTTCAGAAGAAACGTATTGAGATGCTGAAAAGCAGCAAAGGTGACGTCACTGTTTGTTGATTTTAGTAGAATCAAGTGGACGCCCTGTCTTCTGGTTTATTTCAAGAGGAGTAGTTTATGGTCTCGTTGTGATGATGATTACAGATAGGTCGTGGCATGTTTTTTGTGGTCCATGAGCTGGGAATGAGCCATGTTTCAAAACTTGTTTGTTCAATCTCGGTTTAATGATATCCTTTTCTTTGTAGAAAGCGCCAAGAGCAGGACTGAACTCGTCATTGCTCCTGCAGAAAAGACACCTCGGCTTGTTACCTGAGAACTCCTACTGCAGGTATTGTTCCACACAAGGATATGGAGCTGTTCCTCTTGTATCCCATATATTTCAATACCCACAGCTGTGATGCATTACAGAAACAACCCCAGTGACTAAGTTCAATGCTAATCAGTTCTGTATGTGTAGAGATTGGTTTCTTTCGAGCTTTGCTGGCCACTACTAATGACGCTAATCATTTTTGACGTGGGTTTCAATACGGTCATATAGAAACAAAAACCATGATAAATCATAATCAAACTATTTGGATGCTTTGGAACTAATAGTTGCAACAACAACAAAAATGATTTATATTCAGCCTATTGGCAAATAGAAGCCTTGACTTGTCAGATAACTGAAAGGGAGTGAGTCAATTATTCTTGTTCTGTGGATTGTCTGCAGGCAGTGACAGCAGTAGTTACCATGGTTACTGTGTGTCTGCAGGTTGATCCATGAGGTGAAGGTCAGCGGAATGAGACGCCACAAAGTAGAGATCAAGAGCACAGACAACAGCAACCCCAACACTGACAACTTCAGAATTATAGTTGTAAGAACACACATACACAGACACAAACAGAACACCCCAGGGCTAATATATAACTTCATATGTAGGCAACAATTTCTTTTCCTGATGTACTTGGGGATGTCCGTGACATGCTTTTGCTCAATCCTCCCTTGTGTTCCTCGGCTGTCTCAGGGGGACTCAGCATGTGAACGAGTGTTTACAGTCAACGATGTCTCTCACGGAGGCTGCAAGTACGGCATCATGAACTTCAGCAGCAGTAGCAGGGGCTCTCTGTCGGTGGAGATGTGTGATAACCTCTATTTTACCAACCGCAAGGTGGGACATGGTGTTCCCTATGTAGGTGTTGTGGAATTTGTTTCAAACCATAAAAGTACATTGATAAATCTAGTAAATTGCCTGAAAGTGTTCTATATGTGCATGTGAAAAAGTATTAAGTATGTTGTAAATGTGTTTTATTTAATCCCAGAAGACTTTACACACTTGTGACTTGGCTTAATGTGTTTCAGGTGAATTCCATCTGCTGGGCCTCAGTGAACTACCCAGACTCCCATGTATTGTATCCTTGTTCAGCTTCAGAGCTTTTAGGCAGTTCACATGTCTTTAAACTTAAGTGCTGCTTTGATTACAAAAGTGAGGATCTGTATTTAATATGATATAAAGTCTCATCTACGTCATACACCTTTGTTGAAATAGATTCCATGGTGTCACTTAGACATTTTTTGCATTTTGGTCCTCTTATGTATTCCTTGACTAACCTGACTATCAGGCTGTGTTTGGTCGGAGTGGCAGACACCCCTGGCTGCGTCAGTTTGCTTCCTGCTTCCCTCTTTAGCAACTCCAACCCAGGTTAGATGAAACACATTTTTTCTAGTGTGTCACTGTATGTAAACGTTTCAAATGACTACTTTTCACAAAGAATTAGTTTGGAAATGATAGTTTTACTAGGATAATAATGGTCCCTTTTCGTCTGTATATCCTTACTGGTTTCCCAATCAACTGTATCAGTAATGTCTGCATAAGTCTGCAGACAGAAGGTGAAAGGACATATTTCATGTTTGTATTGTTGGGTTTACCCCACAGTAACATTTCTCCTCCTTTAATTCTTCCCCCTCTCTTCTCAGACCAGCCCGGGATGCTGTGTAGCTTTAAGATATCCTCAGCCTGGTCTTGTGCTTGGTGTCTCAACCCACAGTTTGACAAGACCTTCAGCACTGGTCAGTTACATTGCCATCGACCTTTCTACTCATAATCAGATATAATAATTACAGGTGGCCACAATGGGTTGAATTCGTGGAGGATGTGTGCTTAAGTTATTGAATATTACACTATGTTTATCTCTTAAATCATATCACTCTGTTTGCAAAGAAACAAAACAAATCGGATATATCAGTAGTTCGTCACACACACGCAAAGTTCTGAATCTTAAATTGTGTTCTTGCATGTGTTGGCAGGCCTGTCTCGTAGGGTTATTGTGAAAGATGCGGAGACGGGCCGAACACAGACGTTCAGCGTAGGCAGTGATGTCTTGGCTCAGCAGTTTGCCCTCAGGGTGAGTAATTTGTTACATCAAAGTGAACGAGAGACATGTTGGACTGTCTGGAAAATGTTTTCTTGTAGATTTACTTTTGACACAACTAAGAATAAACCCAAGAAATCTAAAAGACCTCCCTTTTTCCTTAGGTCCCCGTGCTGTTTAATGGTTGTAGATCGGGGGAGATCTTCAGCATCGACCTGCGGCAACGCGGCCGCAGGGATCAAAGCTGGAAGGCCAGCCGCTTCCACCAAGAATCGGCTATCACATCCGTCCGCGTCCTGCAGGATGAGAACTACCTGTTGGCTGCAGACATGCTGGGCCAGGTCAGGGTGGAAAAGTGTTGTATAAACATTACAAGCAAATTACTATATGTGAATTATATTTTATAATTAGAATAATAGGCTAAAATGATGTAGTCTTGAGATGAGGATAATGTGCAAAGAGGAGAGGTTTGGCACCTGCTGCACAAGTTAAAAAGATTTAACAACTTAATGGTCGTAATTATACTCATCACTGTTTATTCTGTGTTTAGAGCTGTAATCAAACAGAACATTGGGAACTGACAAAGTGGTAAAAGAATGAGGGAAAGGAACCATTAGGGTGAATAAAAAAAAAACTGTAAGTGAGCTATAAATGAGCTGCTTTATCATTTCTGTTCAGCCTTTAACCAAAAACAAACCAGAGTGAGAAATTAGGTCTGAATTTTCAAAAATCCAAACTTAAGAACAAGACCCTTCAAAATGAGATATAAACATGGAAATCCGAATGGAAGCTTTTCTTGCTTTAACTCTGTGTTTTCCTCATTTACGTGCAGATCAAGCTGTGGGATGTGCGAGTGACAAAACCAGTGCAGGAGTACAAAGGGCACTATAATGAGCATG